AACATTAGAGCTGTAAAAGGATTACATGGTTTTAAAACGAGCATTTATGGCTTCCACCGTCTATGTTCTTCTCTTTCTCCTTCTCCTTCCTCCGCCCAATATTTCCTTAACACAATGGCACATCAGTGGAGAGGAGAAAAAGAAAATGAGCAAAGAAATAATTACTTTTAGTATGAAATGGTAAGCTTGTCTGACGTGGTCAGGTATTAAGGAAGGGGGTTTGATCTTTGGGACCTCCCAGCCCATGTTGGACAGCTTAGCTGTTGAACCAACTCTTTGGGGATATGGATGAGACCTTTCTTCAAGAAATATTCACAAATAATAGGTGATGTAGTTGCAAACATGCAATTGAACTTGTGATATCTTTGTAATTCTAGTTTATTGAATTGGAAATCTTCCATTCTCGATGGCTTGGTCTTATCATATTTGAGCGACTCTTTTTTCTTTCAATTATTGTTTTGTTTTTGGGTTTGATACTTATGTATTAACAATTGATATCCATTTGTTGTCAGTTTATTTTCTCTTCCCTTTCAAATAGATGCTATTGAAAACAAAACACAAAGTGGGTTTTTATGATTGTGCTTCCTTTATTACAACTTTGTGGGACACCCATCACGTTTGAGTACAATGGACCAATAGTGCTGTGTTGTCATAGTGCTGGTGTAAAAAAAATTCCTGACATCTTTATTCTTCTAATTTTCAAAATGCCCAGATTTAATTGTTTGGTCTTGAACAGATAATTTTAGTTGTGGATGGAATTTGTCTAGTTTGAAGCAACATTGAACTTTATCTTACAGATCCTGGTGAAATGTTAGATTCTTGAATGAGTAAAACTGAATGGACTTTGAATCAGCCGTCTATCGAGCATGAGTTGTGGAAATCTTTTATGTGATTTGAGGATGCAAATTCTGGTTGTCTGACCGTGCCACAGAGACAAAAATTTGGTTAGAGACACAGAGTGAATTAATCAAATTTGTGGAGCTTCTTTGAAATTTTGCCTACCTCGAGATTGAGAAATTGATGGAACTGCTTGGATTTTCATGTACTAAAACCATGCTATACATTCAGTATCATTCCTTAAAACACTCCCTTTTTGTGGTTAATTGCAGACGGCAGGTCTTTTGGATATCAAAGCAAATACTGCAGTTAGTTATGGAAGATGCCATTGATGACTGGCTATTAAGGCAAATTCATTGTCTCAGGAGAGAAGATAATATCGCTCAGGGAATACGATGGATCCAGGATGTGAGTGAAATGTCTTCACTGCTATCCATCCAATCTGTCAAATTTCCCTTTTCATTTCATTTTTCTGGAATCTGTTTCGCATATGAACTTGCTGGATCCTGTTTCTTGATTGAGTTCTTCATTTTAGGTTATCTGGCCCAATGGTACATTCTTCCGGCCGTTAAGTACTCGAACTGAACTTGAATGTCAAGAAAATGAGAGATTTCAGCTAACTATGAGGCAACAAGGCGAAAGTAGCGTCTCCAAACTGGGAACATTTGAGGAACAGCTTGAAGCTTCTCGCAGGGCCAGGGATGTGGAAAAAATAATTTTCAGTGAGTTTTTTTCCACCTGGTTACAGATCCTACATATGATATTCTCGATACATGTTTGATGTTTGAGAACAAAGAGAAGCTAGATTGTGATTTTTATTCAGCTTTTTTTATTCTTCTTCTTCTCTCTCTTTTTTCTGGAAGTTCTTTGAAAGTTTTCTGAGCAGTGATCTGTTTCTTGTTATTATTTTTGTGCCTTTGTTTCCATAAAGATCTGTAAAGCTTCTT